CACACACACACACACACACACACACACACACACACACACACACACACACACACACACGAGTGTGCTCAGCTTGTGGACTAACAGCAGCTCTTTCTGCCTGGATTTATGGTATTTTGAGTTCACAAACAACTCTGGTTACTCTTTTAAAAGTTACATTACATTAGCTCGTTGCTGCGCTGCTATCAGTGCTATTTTTAGAACAGGCACGGGTCTGCTGACTCCCGGTCACACGTGAGATCTGTGTTTACGGTTCTTGCTATATCAGAGTAATTATTGATAAGGTAATCATGCTTCACCTGTCGTGTCTTCCTTGAAAGAAAAAAAAGGTAAAAAAGTAGCTTGCAAAGCTGTCGCATTAGACAGTTTTCGTTGCGCTTCACATCACACACACATACATGCCTTGCTATTTTTGTGAGGACTACACACAGACAGCACTCACAGCCTCCCTGCGCACAAGAACCCGCGGTGTTGGTTTTTCAAAATAAAGTATATCTTAACTTTTCATTGATATTTAAATAGGGTTTCAAAGTCTGATTATGGTTAGTATAAGAGCGCAAATATAGGATATAAATATATAATGTATGCTTTACATTGTTTTAGCCTAATACAGGCCTATTATTAAAAAAAAAGAAAAATCTTTATTCTGAAAGTGTGGCGACTATGATTTTTGCCCTGGCAGTGCGCCACGATCAATTACATGTAGGGGAAACCCTGGGCTAAGCTCACCTTTGAGAAGAATGTCCTGATGCTTCCCCTGATGTGTCATTAGAGTGAACACTTTTGGCCTGGGTGGGGCTGGGGCTTTTGTCTGATCTTCTCTTTTTACCATTTGAAAATAGTGCTTCTGAAGGAGGAGAGCTCCTCTGTTCTTCAACAAGAGTTGCGTCACTCTGGTCTGATGCTGTTCCTACCGACAAGCGGAAAAATTATTTTACAAAACAGAAGAATAAACTCTTAAATATAAATTTGAAAAATGTGATTTTAGGGAGTTCAATTTGATTGCTTTACTCATACCAATGTCTAAACATATTCATTACTCATGCACAACACTGATTCATAATTCAGTCAAACCAGGATATTAATTTCACCTTTTTTTCTAGCCGAGTGCCTGGAATGAGGCGAGGAGCCGGGTGTTGAACCAGAAGAAAGATGTTGCGAACGACTGAAAAAAAGCAGTATTATTGACCCCTGCAATTTTTTCACAACAGCTCAACAAAATGATTTTTTTAAGCTGTCAAAACAGGAAGAATGTAGTAAAAGCCCCTTTTAAAAATATATTCTCCATAAGACATTTTGGTGAATAGAAATCACTGCATTAATTATATTTTATTATTGAAAAAAATCTGGAAATGTCTAGAAAAAAACAATTTTAAGGCCTTATTTTTTCAGTGTGACATGAGTGCCACCTACTGTCTAAATGTGACATTAACGAGCAAGTATCTTTTTACCTGGGTGAGTTGGAGCCTCTCTGGTCACTTGTCTTGCTGCTTTGAGATGAAACAAAGTCATCTTCATAAACTGCTGCACTACATGGACTGTTTCCAGAGTGTGGAGAATTGGCATGGGGAGAATTTCTCTCTGAATTTCTTTCACTCGCTGGAGAAGAACATAAAAAAAGGAGAAAAATTAGTGATTTTTCTTGTTTGTCAATGTGAATCATAGTTTGTTTAATAATATATATAGTCTGTGTATTTATTTTGGTTTTATATGTAGGTCTAAAAAAATTAAAATACATTTTTACTTTGTTGATTATGGTAATCCACTGTACAAATTACGGTAATCCACACAGGTTTTCAGTGAAAAAGTGTTCTCACGTCTAATACCAAAAAAAATCTGTTAAGCATGAAATTACCTTTAACATGGCTGTGGACATTCTTAGTAAAAATGTTGATTACACTTAGTGGGCTTCCTTTGTTCAGCTCTTCCCAGGGAGGTTTGCTGCTGTCAAGCTGTAAAAACGGTGAGCACATTGCTGCCTCCCTCTGGAACTCCAACAGTCTTTGCTTATTTTTCCTTTGACTTGCACAATAGTCCTTTGCCTCCAGGAGATCTGACAGAGGCACATGATTATCAGAGCAGGGACGAGGACTTGCCTCATCCTCAGAAAAACTTCCTTCGCTTAGAATCGGACCCTCGCTGATGGAACCGGCACTTGAATCGTGGAAATCGGCCTGTCCGTCTTCCTTGTGAGCTTTTGTCATTGGTTGGTTTTCTGTTCTCTCTTTCTTCTCCAACCCACAGACTATCCTACTTCTTTCTTGAGCAAAACCATTGTAGGCTGGCACATTTACATCAGCAGGACTTGTATGTGGATTGGTGAAACCAGTGTGACTCTTTTCTTTCTTTTCCCTCAGGTCGTGCAGATTGCCTGCTCCTGGGAGTGCTGTGCCACTGAATGAACTATGACCTGTACTTGCTGGAACCGTATACATCCGATGAGTCGTATCATCATTATTCGTGGCATAATTAACTGCTTCTGTCCAGCACTGATCAAGATTAGGTCTAGGAGCCAATATAGTGTCAACATCCACTGACGTTGCTGCACCGTAGTTGATCTCTTGTCCAGCAAACTTCCTTGCCTCCAGCTCGATGCGGTTGGAGAGTGATGTAGCTGTGGCTTTTATGGCTTCAATTCGGGACATTTTGGTCTGTGATCTGCTGTAAGGGGCTGTGGCTGGACGTTCGCTGAACTTGATGTTACTAGCAGCCACAGCAGCCTCCAGCCTTAAAAGCTGAGATAGGAGATGCTCATTAGAAGGTGCTTGTGTGCTGCTGCTGGGACCAAAAGTGGGTTGAACAGCTGGCCGCAGACGGTCTGGCTGAAGCCAAGAGTTGACGTCTACATCCAGGTCATTCCTAAAAGAGACGACGAAGAATAAAAACATTGTGTAAAGGGTTTTTGTTCAATTGTAGAAATAATCACAAATTTCAAAGAAAATCTTCGTGGATGATAAATCAGCAACTGACAATCAGAACTGAAGTCAAACCATTTTAGAGATAGCTTTGATTAAAATTTAATTCTTGGTGGTACAAAGCACAAATTATCTTTTTTTCCCTACATTTGTAGACAAGAAGATTTCTGCAAAAGAATGGATACTCTATAAGAACTACAAAAATTAACTGTATACCTGCTCAATACCACTGCATGTACAAAAAAAAAAACATCTTGAATTTGTTATGGAAGCACTCACAGTCTAATATTTTTAAAAAATCAGTCAGATGAGTTTAAGTTTTATTTGTGCTAAAATTCGACAAAGTATTATGAAAAGCTGCATTATTTCAGTAACAATGTCTTAGTGACTCATCTCAATGCTGGATGTACTGTATGGTGCAGGAAAGTAAATTAACTCTGAAATACAAAAAACATAAATATGAAAATACATTGTTGTTTATTTCCAGTCAGTTATTTGTTCATTAAAACCTCTAATCTGGAATTTCTAAATTGGTCAACTGTTTGTTCCTCTATGCTAAAAAGCAGAGCATAACTTCTGCTTTTTAATATAAATACTTGCACTGAATCTTCATGAAAACCAAACACATAAAAACAAACACCTTCTCTGTTTATGTCAGATGTGTGTGGGGTTATCAACAATGCTCATTACAGAGAGTATGAGCTTTATGGAAATACAAATTTCCACCTTTTTATTAGCATTTGAGTACCTGGATAATGGAGGTGGTGGCGGATCAGTTAAAGACTTATCGCTACTTGAGGGGCTCTGTGGGACCTCTTGTCGTTTGTTTTCTTTGTCTGACTCTCCTGAAGGCTGGTACACAGGTCTCTGTTAAAAAAAAGTTATTTAGTTTATTCATGTACTCTATAGCTGTGTCTCAGTTTAGGGGTTGCAGCCCATCATGGCCCACTTAGGCCACACTCTATGCAGTCCAGATAGGCTGCAAATGATGCATAAAAATCTGTTGTGAAATGACAAGTGTCATTGTCAATGTCTAGTCTTCAGATGACACGTTTGCATGACCACTCACTACCCCATTACCACAGTGTTACATTTTAAACCACATGCCTTCAATTGGAACACGTATTCACGTCTTCTCACAGGAAGTATAATTTCACAAAATTCTGAATTATTTAAAAACGTTAAACATTAATACTTTGAGTTTAGCCCCAGAATCAGTACTTGTAACTGCATTTCATTTAACATCTCATTGCAGCATAAATTTCATCAGCTAAATTGCTAAACATACATTTAAAAATGAACATTTCATCCCACGATTAATTTCCAAACTTTGCTGTAAAAAACAAAACAAAATAAACTCAGCCGTCTTCATTTTCCTGTTTAGTTTGCTGACGGTGTAATGAATCCTGCTGAAACAGTAGGATATTCAGATGCATTCTACGTTTTTGGGGTTTTGTCGCCACATAAGTAGGCGCCCACAAATTCAGATAGCCTACACTGTGGCGCAGTGACATAAGCAGCCTACAAATGAACCCTACATGGGCTGCAAACCGCTGAATTTAGACACAGCCTGAGTAGTTTTTGTATTCAGATATGATGAGCATGTTTCATAAATGTGTATATTACCATTTGACTGGAAGGTAGCGGCAGTCTCTGTGTTGCCTCCTCATTAAGCTGAGCATCCTCTTGGAGCAGTTTGGTGTATGTTTCCTGTAATCGCTTTTGGACTGGGGCCATAAGTGCCTCTGCTGAAGGGGGTACAGTTTTAGCAACTTCTCTTTGCTTCCTGTAGAGTTCCTGCAGTCTCTGATACCTCCTTTCTGCCTCCTCCTTCATTTCCCTCTTTTCTTCTGCCTGACGCCTCTTTCTTTCCTCTTGTTGTCGCGCAATGTATTGTCGAACTGTGTCTGCATCATAGTGTCGCCTCTTGTGTCCTTTATCAGAAGTGTTGATGGTGTCCGATTGGCGTGCAGTTGGGCTGGCACTTCGACAACCCCTTGAGGAGGTATTTGCAGCTGCACTAGTTCCCCAAGTAGAGACCGGTGTTCTCGTTTGTGAACCTGAGCCCCCTCTTCCTCTTCTACTTACACTGCCACCCCGGGATCTTTTACGGGCCCGCTCGTCTTTCTCAGCTACTTCGCGATCCAGCTGAAGGTCATCGAGAATCCCCTGAATATCTGCTGACAACAGGTCTGTGCTGACTCTCAGCTGGGTCTTTTCCTGAGCTGCAGATGAGGGCCTGTATGTGGCTGAAGAGTGGCTGGTGGGTCGCTCTTTAGATCCACTGCGAAGCCTCTCTGTGCTGTTTGGGCGAGAGCTTCTGTTTGGTTCTGATTGCAATTTCGAACGATGATGGGAATCTGGTAAATGTTCAGAAAAACAATGTTAGTGGTCTAATGGCCATTGTCTTTTCCCCCTCAATATTAGGAAAACTACAAACATTTTTTTACAAGCAAATATGTTTTCCCTGTTTTTATAACAAAACCAAAAAAAAAAAAAATCATCTATAAAAGATACATTCATAATGCTTAAGAAAACCCTTAGTTGCTTCCACTTGACTATTAAAAAAAGAACTGAAGAACAAACACAGATAAAAAAAAGAGAGGCTCAGAAGAGGCTTTGCTTAATCTAGGTCAAACTGAAGAATCCCGTGTACCACATAATCCAGACATATATTTTTTTAAGTATGCCTGCCCTGCTGTACTTCTCTGACATTACCCATGGTAGATGCTTCGAGCACTTGGGGCAGTTTTTGGAGATCAATTTGTGCATTATTGTGCACCCAGCTTGAAATGGCAGTCAATCTCGATTTGTTCCGGTCAGCAGTTCCCCCATGTGCAGATATAATCAGTTTAATCAAGAGAGACAGAGGCAGTGATTTTATGGTGACGGAATACCACTGTGATAAAGTTATAGCAGCTATAAATTATTTATTGATATTTTTTTGGCCGAGTTTGTTGTCTGAAATCAGACTGTGTGCCCCCATCTGTATGATCTGACGCCACGATACAAACTGATGTGGCAGCTCTAGGCTTTAATTTAGTCTGTGTAGTTTCAGATTCACAGATACAGTACAGTACAGTATTGATGGACATGACTATAGGTCTTAGGGTTTAAAATAAGGGTTAAAAATAACCATTTGAGCATGCACATTTAAGTCCAGATTGAGCGCATTAGAGATGACTTCCTTGAATTTTGAATGTTTTTAATAGTGATTGTTTGTATTGTCTTTTGTGTAACTTTATGTAAAATGTATAATTTTTGCTAACTCTAGGACAGGACTCTCTTGAAAAAGAGGTTTTTAACTTTTCTGGTTAAATAAAGGAAACAAATGCAATCTTAAAGAAAACACAATATAACTGAGTAACAAGGCTTACACATACACTTCATGGAAATCTAGACAGGTGAAGGACCTAAAGCAAGGGTGTCAAACTCATTTTCACCGAGGACCACATAAGCGTTATGGTGGCCCTCAAAGGGCTACTTGTAATGAACTTTGACATTTCATGTTTAACTTTGTCTAAACAGAGTTTTAACACGTCCTCTTTTAAACACTGGTAAGAACTAAGTGTACGACTGACTAAATCTGAAATAAACACAGAAACCTTATTAAAAGTAAAGACAACTTTAGATTATAGCTGATGCTGACTGTAAGCAGCTTATTTTCAGACATTAATACTGTGCTATCCAACTAAATTGCTCAGTTACTTCAAGCCAACAGCTCAGAGACAGGAATTTATTAATTTATTTTTATTAAAATAGTTTTTGTTGCATTTAACCATAAATTTAAAGTTTACTTTGTGCGTTTTGTTGTCATTAAATAAGATTGCACTTTAGACCTGGCAAAATCCTAGCCAATATCAAGCAAATATTAGTATCAAAAGCATGTGAAAAAGAAAAAAACAGCAATTCTGGAACGGCGGCGGTCACTCTCTAAATCCAGCACGATGCCAGCCTGGCGCCACGGAACAGAGACGGGCAACGAACGGACCTGCGGAGAAAAAAAAGTCATGCCCATCGGAGCTTTTTAAACTAAAGGGGCCGAGCCCGACTTGATATTGCAGCAGTCAACCTTTAATCCACCACCAAACGGTGCCCCGGCACCCACGTCGCCAACCGGGTGACAGCCCACAGCCAATGGGCCGCGTGAACGTTGACTGGCACACGAAACCTCAAAATCTTAATGACTGAGAGAGGATCTGCAGTGGAGTGGACCAAACTTCCTCCTGATATGCGTGCAAAGC